GCAGAGGCCGGGTTGAGATGGGCAGGTTGGGCAATAATAACTGCAGTCCTTTTGGACTCCTTTCTTGTAGCAAACACGGCACTTTCTTTGGGGAGTTTTTTTACTGACGGTGGCGGGGATTCGGGAAGGGAAGTGTTTGCCACAAAGACTTTGGAAATCTCCTGATTCCAAAGAAGCTTAGCGTGAATTTTAGGAAAGGGCAGGGCTTACCTATGACCTCTTTTTTACAGAGGACTTTGGCATTGAAAATTGCAATCTGGCTCACATAGATTGCAATTTTCTTGTACCAGGTCCTAGTTTTTCGGTTCACCAGATAGGGTTGTATGCATTGGTCAGCCAAGTCTACTCCCCCCCAAAAACTTGCTGCAGTCTACAATGCACTCCAGCTTTTCCAGATGCTCAGTGCTACCTCTTACAGACACTGGCACTGTATTTTTGTTGTGCATCATAGAGAGCATGTTTACATCCTTCCTATCTGTGAAGCACAGGGCAAGCAACTCATCCTGGCGAAGAGCTGAAGAGGAACAAGAGGAACCTCTACTGCTTCTGCCTTTTGCCTGGGTCTGGGGGAAACCCCTGCAAATCTCCCTCACTGTGCCACAGGATAAGGTTACAAAGCAATATCAATTTTTAAATAATTGTATACTGGTATCATAAATCTCAACCCATAGCCTATATCCATTATTTAATAAGGGAAGGATTAGATCCCAAACAATCTTGCCACCTGTACCCACAAAATCAGGGCATCCTGGTGGGTCAAGATGGCTATCCTTCCCCTGGTAAATGCGAAACGACCATGTGTAACCAGTACAGGATTTGCATAATTTATCAAATTTAACGCCATATCGGGACCGCTTAGATGGAATATATTGCTTAATTACCTTAAAATTTCATAAGGGACTTGTCAATTGAAATATCTTTATCGGGGACATAATTTTCAGAAACGTTGTCTGACAGGAGTTAGATAAATGGCCGAATTTTATAGAGCCTGTCAAACAGTAGGTCGTTTTTAAGG